ATGCAAACTTGTGTCATCTAAGCATAGTTGTGTAGAGATGTCGGCAGGAACACAGTGGCCTCTGGTTGATGCATCAGCCTTGGCAGGGCAAAGCGTAAGGCTCAGATTTTTGCCAATGAGCAGGACTGAGCTCCCGACGAACAATAGTGTACAACATGTGAAGAATAAAGCTCGCTTCGTGAGTCGAGACAAACCGACTACAAATAAATAACCCGAGCACCGTGTATCCATGTGGGACAAATTTCAGTAGCCTGAGCATTGTCTCGAGAAGGCGAAGCCTAGCGCGCCTTCAATTGAAAGGCGGTTGTCTCAAGATTACATGATCTTTCACTTGTCGCAGATGTTCTATATTAGACGCATCAAACAAGACCTCTGGCCCATTCATGATTTCAAACGCGTCTCTGCAAGATCTCATCCATTCCAACTTCGGCCGTCCTGAGCGCCTGGAACGAACAGGTCTGGGGCGTAGGTTGTCAACACGAAATGATACCTGGTTCATTAGGTCTGCTGGGCTGGCATGTAACCTAGAGATCTGTTTTGGAATGCGGTCGACCTTGAAATTTCGGATTGCATGAGCTGTATGCATTCCAGCCTGTACAAAAGCTTTGACCTCACAATCGCATGGAAAACTTGAATCTTCCATCTAACTGATGTTTTTTTTGCCTTTTGCCAGAAGCGCTTGAGTCTTTTAGCCGTCGCTATACAATCTCCAAATCTATCTAGCACCTCCGCCTTGTTATCGAAACGGTCTGTCAACAAACTACCGAGGTGAGCTGCTGAGTGTTTTTCCAGGCACCAACCTACCCTGTGCAGGGCCATTTGGGGAGAATCGAACAGTTGAGATTATTTGATTGGCTGTTATGTTAACGTGTCGCAGTTAAGTTTAAGCTCATAGTGTTCGGAGTGTCTCTCAATGGCATGCAGCAAGACATGAATGCACCGAGTGTTGGCTCCAAAGATGAGAGTGACATATGCAAAGAAGATTTCAGACAAAAGAATACCATCTATCGGCTCTCGTGGTCTTCTGGTCCTGGTGATGAGCTCCGTAATGTCGTGAAAAGGAGCACCCATAAGAAGAACAAATAGATAAAGACTTAGAGGGCAGCCCTGTCTTATTCCAGCTTCTTGCGCTCTCCGTGTAGACTCGACGGAGCCTTGTCTGACTTTGAACTGTGGATTTTCATAGAGAGCGGCCTGCCATGGGGCCT